CATGGCTTTCACTAACAAAAAAAAAAAGTTTGATTTGCTGCAACAAAGGGCTTTTTGATGAAGATCTCAATTTCATCTGCCTAATCTGCCAATTAGAGGTGTGTGTTTGCGAGGTGAGTGTTTGAAAGTTGTCTGGCTAATCTGACCATCTGTTTCTTATCAGTCATTCTTTTATTTTTTAAATGTGTGGATTTATTTATTTATCTTAGGGATCTATTAGAGCAGCAGGCAGCCACATCTCTCCGCAGTCAATCAGATAGCAGTGTGTGTGCGTGTCTCCGAGTGTGAGTGTGTCTCTATTTCGACATCCACTAGAGGGCGAAGTCTCGTTTGAGGGCCTGCCAGCTTGATTTAAGCAGGAAACTGTCTGTTGTTTTTTGCCAGGCTGTCTGCTGTGGGTGTGTGTGGAGTGTTTTAGTTTCTCCCGATATGAAGCACTGAGCTCCAACAAAAACAACATACAGAGGAAGGGGTGAGGGGCAGACTGGGGCAGGGCAAAGGATTACGGGGGCATGGAGAGCAACTCGGTTGCCTCTTTGCACAGCAGGAGCTGGTCAACGACCTTGTGTAAAACCTTAAACTGATACAGTAAATTATGGCTAAAAGTAATAATTCAACAAAATAAAGTGATAACTGCAAATTATGAATCACAAACATGAACTTTTTAATAGTTATTTCATGTTTAGACACAGAATGCATCACTTAACAGGTGTTTTGGTTAAAGATCCATAGAGGATCTGATTAACTGATATGTTATTAAGTATCATTTTTAAATGAATTATCATTATTTATACTTATTATGACATGCATTAGTTGATATTTGTTTCCTAATAACTAAATAATACATTTAATTTTCAATTGACTGAGCCAGAACATTTTTGTTGTTGCTAAAACTATGGTCAGTGATGATTCATAAAATGCAAGTCAATAGCTACACTGTAAAAAAAAAAAAAAAAAAAAAAAATCTGTAATTTTACACTTTATTTCCGGCAGCTGGGGTGATGGAAAAAAACGTATAACTACAGCCGTTAATTTACAAAAATTTACTGTAAAATAACAGAGGTTGAATTACAGGAATCTACCAAAAATTTAAATTTAAAGAAATTTCTGTAACTTAATGTTTGTTATTTTATGGTAACTTTCTGTAATTTAATGTCTGTTATTTTATAATAGATTACTGTAATTTAATTTCCATTATTTTATAACAAATTACTGCAATTTAATGTCAGCTATTTTATAATAAATTACTGTAATTTAATCTCCATTATGTTATGGTAAATTTATGTAATTTAATGTCTGTTATTTTACGTTTGTAAAATTACAGATTTGTTTTACAGTGTACTAACACTTTGAGAGGTAAACAAAATCATTTACAGATTAAAATATATAATTACTGTATAACTCCTAATGATACATTGAGATCTCATAAAGCAAAGTCATCGGTCTGTTAGAATTTTGCCTTTATTTTATTATGTTTACTCCACATCCTAAACAAACTGAATGAGAATATATTTAGCCTGTTTTTATTATGATTATGATTATGATTATTATTATTTGACTCTCAAAGTGCTAGTAGATGTTATCTTGCATTTTTGAATCACCAACTGTGTTGAGAAAATTTACTAGGGATGCGCCGATGTGGAACCTTTTTTGAGGCCCCTAGCCATTTTATTAGCCAATATTTATGAATACACTTTTTTTTACTTTTTTTCTGCATGATTGCAAAACAAAAGGCAAATACATGTAGAGAACAACTTACTTTATTTCAAATCACTTTAAAAGTTTGAACTGATCTCTGAACTTTATTAATGAACTAAACTTTTCTGTGGCCAACTTATATTTATAAATCTACAGCAGTCAATCAGTCTATCAATCTATTAAAATTAATGCATAAATAAGAAAAACAAGTCACTGAACAAAAATTACAATCAAAATACCTGAAAAACCAGTGCAAATAATACATCATTTATTAACTTAAAGATATCTGCATAATTTTGTTATTGGAATGATCACAATAACATTTATAAAACACATTTATCAGTCGATATTGATCTGTCCACTGATATGTGCAAGTTACATATAAAAGTAAAATTATACAATCTTCAAATCAAATCAAATAATACATTACAATAACAAATTAACACATTTTGTTCCTTTTTTTATGAGTGACATAAAATTATACTACTTTGATTATCTTCTTTAATGTCCCTTGCCCTTAACGTAACAGGATTTTTAGGCGAACTAACCCTTTAAGTTTCTGTTGAGTATGTTGTTCTTGTTAAGTATTGAAAGCAAAATCCCCAAATGTAAAAGAAAGAAAGAAAGAAAGAAAGAAAGAAAGAAAGAAAGAAAGAAAGAAAGAAAGAAAGAAAGAAAGAAAGAAAGAAAGAAAGAAAGAAAGAAAGAAAGAATTAGCTCATTCATTTTTTTTCTTTGGCTTAGTCCCTTTATTCATCAGGGGTCACCACAGCGGAATGAACCACCAACTTATCCAGCTTATGTTTTACACAGCGGATGCCCTTTCAGCCACAACCCAGTACTGGGAAACACCCATCTATTCTCATATTCACACACTCATACACTACGGTTAATTTGGTTTATTCAATTAACCTGCGCATGTCTTTGGACTGTGGAGGAAACCGAATCACCCAGAGGAAACCCATGCAAACACAGGGAACATGCAAACTCCACACAGAAAAGCCAGCTGACCCCCCCAAGACTTAAACCAGTGACCTTCTTGCTGTGAGGCGACAGTGCTAACCACTGAGGCACATTGTATATCCTCAGTAACATCCAATTATTCAAACATATGCTTTGTCATAAGTGGCATTATTCACACTTCATATCTAATCTGAAGCATTTAAACAAATTCATTAGTTCTACTCTACATGTCTCTGCTGTCATTGCATTAGTCCTCTATGTCAGACTATTAGCATAGTGTTATATAACTCAGTTTATTCCTGCAACTGTGTAGTGTTTGATTAAAAGATAGTGAGAGCTCCATAAGTGAATGAGAAGATCTGCAGATGATCTCATCAGAGTTGTGGAGAGTGACACTGATAGGTTTTTACTAATGGATTTACACACTGATCCTGCTCAATTTGATTGCACGTTCATTTAAAGAGAGCAGTGTGTGAAATGAGATTTTTATGTGTAAACAGTGATGCATAAACTGCTGACTTTCACAGAAAGCTCTCGGGAATTTGACGGATAATGCAGATGTAGGGGGAAAGGTTAGGTGTAGCCCTATAGTTTTCCTGTTTGTTTTGAATGCGAATTGCTGTCCATTCACTTTTGGCTATTTCGCTTTAACTGTCCTTTTTAGGTGCAGCAAATTGGGTGTAACGCGTGAACAGCGCGCCCTTAAGAAACTCGTTAATGTCAAATGCGTCGTTTCCTTTTGTTTTTTGTTTATTTTGCGAGCTTGCGTCTTCTTTTATCATGCAAATAAATGCCAGAAAGTGAGAATTAAATTCACACTTTTACAAATTCTTTGGGTGACGTGTAATTTAATCACTAAGACACCCGAAAGGCTTTATGCAGTAGCAAATAATTACGATCAAATTATGTAGCAAACAATTATAGGGCTTAAATTAATTGGATTTTGTGATTCATCCTTTAAACTCAAATTAAAAGTGTCCATTAGCCTTAGTTTCTTGGTGAGAGGTTGCAGCTGGAAGGGCATCCTCTGCATAAAACATATGGTGGACAAGTTGGCGGTTCATTCTGCTGTGGTGACCCCAGATTAATAAAGGGACTAAGCTGAAAAGAAAATGAATGAACGATTAGCCTTATATAATAATAGTAATAAGTTTTAAATTAACTATCAGCATAGATAGAAAGATAGATAGATAGATAGATAGATAGATAGATAGATAGATAGATAGATAGATAGATAGATAGATAGATAGATAGATAGATAGATAGATAGATAGATAGATAGATAGATAGATTAAATTAATGAAGTAGAATCTATATACAATTTTATTAATAAATAATTAAAATGTTTTATTTAAAAAAAAATAAGATTATGATAATGTCTGCAGGTAAATCTCTTATTAAAGTAGCTGCATTGATGTGTTGTAGTGGAAATCGAGTGTTTGAAGTGACTGAATGTCACCTTCATGTAATGTTTGAGTGAGAGGAAATCACAGAGCAATGCCTTTTACATGATCATTTGGTCACAGCTCTGGTTTCACTGGGGACCTGTTTGAAACCTGTTTAGGCTTGTCGTGTTGAGTTTGAGATTGGTTCAGTTTAGTGCCATACAATGAGATCTGCCGTGCATTTGGCAGTCAAAAAAACAGACTAAATATAAAAAAACTGTTATTAAATATTTAAGACGTTAAAAAACATAGACGTCTTTCACTCTATGAGTGCTATCAATAGTTAACCCCCTCGCTGCAAGTAGCCTATATTAAATGTAAAGGAAGCAATTAAAAGCGTAACATTTTAGTGGGTGGACAGGGAAAAAATGCTACATAAAAACACATTCATTATTTATTTATTCAACAAGAATGTTTAGGTCCGCATGACGTGAATGAACAAATGTTTAGTGGAAAAGTTTACATCCATTCAACTTCTGCGACTGTGACTTTTCCCCCTCTGTTTTATTTTAAAAGTCTCGTAAATGAGACGTGACGCAAAAACATTTTTTGTCAGACGATTTAAGCTAAATCTAACTTGAAAGACGAGCGAGCCATTACTTTTTCATTAAGAAGAAAAACAAGAGTTAGGCTGACTTTGTTGACACACACTCGCTCCTGCCGACTGCGTGGCCCGGGGGGGCCGGTGAGCCGTAGTGGGTGGGAGAGAGAGACTGTGTGTGTGTGTGTGTGTGTGTGTGTGTGTGTGTGTGTGTGTGTGTGTGTGTGTGTGTGTGTGTGTGTGTGTGTGTCTATGGGGGCTGAGGTTTAGTGGAGATAAGGGGTCCGATATATGGGTCCAGAGGGAGGGGTGAGAAGTCTGGAGTTTAAAAAGACAGGACGCTTCACTCACACACACAGACGCGCTTCAGCTTCCAGTGAGATAAACTTTACCACAGACTCTTGTATCAGACAGAAGAATCCAAACATTTTCAGTGAACTCTATAAAAACTGCTGCCAGAGATTGGGATAAACTGCTCAAGAAGGACTCAAAGCCAACGCGCCCTTTCCAAATGGAGCCAACGTCGGAATACACCGAGACATACGATTACTACGATACTGGCTATAATGACTCTGGGTGTGACTACTCGGAGTGGGAGCCGTCTTACTCTCTCATTCCCGTGCTGTACATGCTCATTTTTATCCTCGGTTTGTCCGGGAACGGCGTGGTTATCTTCACCGTGTGGCGCGCGAAATCCAAAAGGCGCGCGGCAGATGTTTATATCGGCAACCTGGCGCTCGCGGACCTGACGTTCGTCATCACGCTGCCGCTGTGGGCTGTGTACACCGCGCTGGGCTACCACTGGCCATTTGGCGTGGCTCTCTGCAAGATCAGCAGCTACGTGGTGCTGGTCAACATGTACGCCAGCGTCTTCTGCCTGACCTGTCTGAGTTTTGACCGCTACCTCGCCATCGTCCACTCTCTGTCCAGCGGCCGGCTCAGATCCCGTGCCACCATGCTGGCATCGCTGGGTGCCATCTGGTTCCTCTCATGCCTGCTGGCGGTTCCCACGCTTCTCTTCCGCACTACAGTAGACGACACTGGGAGCAACCGCACCACCTGTGCCATGGACTTCAGCTTGGTCACTCTCAATCAGGATCACGAATCCCTCTGGATTGCAGGACTGAGCCTTTCCTCCTCCGCTCTCGGGTTTCTTCTGCCTTTCCTGGCCATGACCGTCTGCTACTGCTTCATCGGCTGCACAGTCACCCGCCACTTCAGCCACCTGCGCAAGGAAGACCAGAAAAAGCGGCGTCTCCTCAAAATCATCACCACACTAGTGGTGGTCTTCGCTTTCTGCTGGACGCCTTTTCATGTGCTGAAGAGTATGGATGCGCTGTCCTACCTGGACCTGGCGCCCAACTCCTGCGGGTTCCTCCACTTTTTGCTTCTGGCTCATCCATACGCCACATGCCTGGCGTACGTCAACAGCTGCCTCAATCCGTTCCTCTACGCCTTCTTCGACCTGCGGTTTCGTTCGCAGTGCCTGTGTCTGCTGAATCTGAAGAAGGCTATGCATGGGCACATGAGCTCCATGTCCTCCACCCTCAGCGCCCAGACTCAGAAGTCAGAGGTGCAGTCGCTGGCCACCAAAGTGTGATTAAGAAGAATCAAAAGCATGAGGACAAAACTCTGGGGGTGAAAAGTGACGGCTGGTCCGTCCTCGTGGACGTATATTTCTTTATGCTTGTAAATAACACTCATAGTTTGGTGTACTCTACTGTATTGATCGATGAGTGGATGCGAGTATGAATTTATGTTCGCTGACGTCTATTTTTTGGCTTTGACACTCAAAAACGCACACAAAAAACTATCCAAGCAAAAAAAAAAAAAAAAAAAAGAGAGGTCAAAAAGTAAAGAACTAAACTTAGTGGTGCTGCCCTGAGGATGAACTTGCTTGTGCTGCTGTAAGAGTGTGTGATTGTATTGAAGCCTGTATACACTGGTGTAGAGATGCAAATTGTACAGTATTTTCATACTATTTTTCTTGTTAATTCAGCAATGCGTTCAGTATTTGTAGCACTTGTTAAGAGGAGATATACAAATTATAATTTTTGTTAAAAAAACTCCTTGATGTGAATGTGTGTGTTATTTGCTGAGTGAGTGAATGGATGATTGAGTGTGTGTGTGTGTGTGTTACAGTGTGAAGGTGATGCTGCTTGATTAGATACAGTAGTTTAAAGCGCAGACAGAGAGTCAGGGCATTTGAGGGGGGTGTTTGGGTGGGCAGACAGACAGATGGCTGGTGACAAATGTCTCGGGGGGAATAGAAAAAAAACAGAGGAAGGGAACACAATTTGGGGGGTGTAAATGATATATTCATGAAATGATGTTATATTTTTTGAAACTTCTGTAACTAACTACTGCTACTGAATTAAATATGCTCCTTGAATACAAGACCGTCTTAGCGTCATTAAACATGATTATGCATTGGTGCACATAATGCAGTTCACATTTAAATCCATATACATGTTTTAAAGTGCTTGAATATTTTTCCGAACCAGAAGTTAATATCCTAAAAATATTTTCAAAAAAACTGTACCTGTAGATCATATATTACTGAAATAAAAAGCCATGTTTATGACTGTTTGCTAACACACTTAAAGGGATAGTTCACCCCAAATTGAAATACTATTTGTTCATCATCAAGTGGCTTTAAACATTTATGAGTTTCTTTATTCTTTTGAAAACCAAAGAAGATTTAGAAAGCTGAAAACCTGTAACTGTAAACTTCAGTATTTATTTATTTTTTATTTTTTAATGGATGTCAATGGTTACAGGTTTCCAACATTCTTCGAAATATCTTCTTTTCTGTTCAACAGAAGAAAGTCCAACAGGTTTGGAACAAGTAAAAGGTAAATGATGACAGAATTTTCGGTTATGGGTAAACTATTCATTTAAGTGCATTTTATTACCAAATTAAAGGTTTTCCCTTTAAAATACATCTTAAATCTTTGCACTCAAATAATAAAACATTTAAAACAACATACATAGCATGCACGTTTTATTTCTAGCATAATTTAAACAAAAATCTAAGTCCTTTATAGCCTTATTTTAAAGACAACATTGAAATTAGATATATAAGAATGTACTTAAATCCTAATTTTGTGGATTAAAAGGCAATCCTGAATTCAAATCCCGAATGTTTTCATATAAACAGAAATCATAATACATTTTAATTTACATGTAAACTAATGTGTAACTAAATGAGTGTGTGGGGCAGATCACAATTCTGTACACTGTAAAAAAACTACTGTAAATATGAGACTAAATTTACAAGCACTCTGTAAATAAATGACATAAAAACTTGCTGTGTCACATTACAGTTGTAATTATTAGTATATAGTGTGCTTTTAAATGTTTCAGTCTTACATAGCGCCCAAAATTTCCAGTAAGTTACTAAAATTTTTTACAGTACAATGTGCTTGTAATAGTGCAGTCCTACCGGCATCCAAAATTGACAGTAAATTACTGTAAAATGTATATTGTTTTTTTTTTTTAAAGTGTACTTATGTACAGTTGAATTCAGAATTATTAGCCCCCTTGAATTATTAGCCACCCTGTTTATCCCCCCCCCCCCCCCCCATTTTCTGTTTAACAAAGATAATATTTTTTCAACACATTTCTAAACATAATAGTTTTAATAACTCATTTTTAATAACTGATTTATTTTATCTTTGCCATGATGACTGTAAATAATATTTGACTACATATTTTTCAAGACACTTCTATACAGCTTGAAGTGACATTTAAAGGCTTTACTAGGTTAATTAGATTATCTAGGCAGGTTAAGATAATTAGGCAAGTTATGGTATAAGCTTTTTTTTTAATAGTCTATAGAACAAACCATCCTTAAAGGGGCTAATAATTTTAACCTTCAAATTATTATTATTTTTTTCAAATGTAAAACTGCTTTTATTCTAGCCAAAATAAAAAAAAGACTTTCTCCAGAAGACAAAATATTATCAGACATACTGTGAAACTTTCCTTGCTGTTAAACATCATTTGTAAAATATTTCAAAAAGAAGAAAAATTCAAAGGGGGGCTTCACACCCACAGATAATATAAGAATATAAGTACAAGTATTTGGCGCCCTGTTCGGTGAGAGAGTTCTGAGCTTCAAAAAAGACTCCCAAACTCGGTCTTTTCCTTTGTCTATAAAGAGGGCCTGAGCCCAGAGTCGAACCTTCCACTCTATAAAGTAAGTCAAGCACAAAATTATTCATAATAATGTACTCATTCCAGCCAAAATAAAAAAAAAAAAAACTACATAGGAAATGCTGTGAAAATTTCCTTGCTCTGTTAAACATCACTTGGGAAATATTTGAACAAAAGAACAAAAATTTCACAGAAGGGATACCAGTTTTGCCTTCAACTGTGTGTATATATTAAATAAAGTACAGGAAATCATTAAAATGAATAGAAAATGACATAGAAGAATGGAAAAAAAATACAATAAATAAATAAATAAATAGAGAAATGGAAAACATGCATATAGCCTATGTGTATATATTAAATAAAGTACAGGAAATGATTAAAATTAATGGAAAATGACATAGAAAAATGGAAAAAATACAATAAATAAATAGAGAAAAGGAAAACACGGATATAGCATTTACAGCAAAGATTGTACAGCACTCTACAGCCCTTTGGTAAAGATTTGTTGTTCCTATAAAAAGTGCTTTATAAACACACAATGATTTAATTCCATGTTAAAGTGAATTTCTTCTCTCAAACATTTTTAGCTATCTAAATTAATGCTTGCATGCATAAAGTCAACAGTAAAGACTCATAGAATTCCTCTGGAAACCAGCACTGTTAACAATTCTCTCTTAATGGTAGCAGTTCGCCAGTAACTTACTGTAAATCAGTTACAGCAAAAATACCATATTTACATTTACAGCCTAATTCTTGCTGTATATGTATTTAAAGTATATATATATACTGTCAAATATACTGTATTTTCACAATGCAACTATAATACAGTAACATGCAGCATAACTGTATAGTGAATTACAATTCATATTACAGTTAAATACTGTGTAATTTACAAAAACAGTGAGACTTATTAGAGAATCTGAAAGTTTGATGAGCATCCTGCAGATTTCAAATCTGATAGAGAGAAAAAAACAAAACTATTTCTGAATTGAAATGGTGTGAATGAAACTACAGTAACGGGTGTGGTGGTGGTGGTGGTGGTGGTAGTGTGGCTTTAAAGACCAGTCTTACAGGACTGAAACACACACACATACACACACAACATGGGGTCTAATGATGGTGACTAATTAACAGTGACATTGTGAGGCCCCTATGATTATAAAAGAATGAATCGTGATGCACACATATTTGTTCGAAGCTATGTGTAGCTGTTATGAGACAAGAGAAAGATTAGTATTGAAAAGAACCGTTAGACAAGGGGCAGAACGACGCTACATGCACACAGTGACATCAAGCAATAACAACATACTGTAGCTGACATGACCAGTGTGATCCGGTTACTTTATAGATCAAATCGAGCAGAGAAACATGCGAATGGACAGAATAACAGTAAATAAAGAAGTCGAGGGTTCACCGAAGCCATTCGTGATATAGTGAGATCCTAAGAAAAATATCGCCAGATTGTTTTTGGCAGACTGTCTGATATACGCACTGTCTGGAAGAGAGATACGATGAGGTAATCTCATTAACTGGATAAACCAGACCAATGAAGTCATCTAAAAAAAAAAAAAAAGAAAAGAAAATAACTAAAAGCACAACGCACACTTCGGCCACACAAAATACAGCTATTTCACATTCATTATTTTCGTTGACAGTTTACTGTAATTGGAATAGCAGAAAGCAAATACTTATTAGCTACAACTGCATTTAATCATATGACTGATACGTTTGTCCACACATGGATTTAGAAACAAGGGATGTAACAATATTTCATAGTTGTATATAAGTCTAAGCTATTTTTACTTGCTTTTAACAAAAGTGAAATTCAGAGAAGTTACACTATGAGTTGTAACTTTAGAGTATATTTTTAAAGAAAAGACTTTCTACTTTAAATCCACACACTTTTGCTGCTTGTTTAAACTTCTTATTTAATATGAGTTGAACCAACACAATTCTTAAGTTTTTTGGGGGGGGGGCAACTTAATAATTTTATGTTCAATCAACTTAAATTAGTTAAAACAATTAAGTTAACCTAATAAATTTGTGTTAGGGCAACATGAAGGAATTGTGTGGAACCCAGTGTTTTTTACAGTGTATACTCTGTGAAATATGCTGGGTTCCACACAGTCAATTTGTGTTGGGACAACATGAGACAATTAAAGGGCACCTATGGTGAAAATTCTACTTTTCAAGCTGTTTGGACAGACATATGAGTAGGTATAGTGTTTAGACTATCATATTGGGGTGATATAAACACACCCAGTCCTTTTTTTCCATTTCATAACATAAAAACGGTGGACCAATTGGAACCGTTTTCAGGCCAACCGCAACTTGACTTAGGAGTGTGGTCCCCCCGCCCACCGAATTGATAGACAGCTGCGTATTAACATGTCTCCGTAGTAATGTGTATAATTATATCAACAAGACAGGACGTGCGCAAAGCAACCAGGAATAAAAGGTTTGACTTAGTGGCTGATTCGTAGAAATTTGTACAATCTAATTCGTACAATTTAGTATGATTTGCTCATCACCTAATGACGGTTGGGGTTAGGGGTGGGGTTGGTTGCTACACCTCCTTTTTAAAATTGTAAATTTTTGTATGACTCAACTTGTACGAATTCGTACCAATTAGCCACTAAACTGACAAAACGTAAAATACGTTTCCTCGTGAGATCAGGCTGG